CCTTTCCTTTATATTTTCACCCTCTGTAACACCATCATCAACTCTGCTTTCCCTGCAGTGACTAAATCAGCACAGGGGAAGGTGTTCAGCACTTTTGGCTGTAATCACCCTTCAAACAGCTGTTCCCAATCCCCTCTAGAGAAAACCAGGCTGTTTGATGCATCAGCTCCCCCACTGAGTGGCTCTGTCAGATAAGGGGCAGGCCCGCCAGCCACCAGCCTTCTGCAGGGTGCCAACCTGCAGTAAGTAATTTCCGAATATGTGCAAAAAATAGCCCTCAGCTGCAAAGATAGTTGCCCTTTTTGTCACAAAAAAGTGCTGAATTCAGTAACATCAGCTGGAAAACCTCCAGACATTTGCACATAGGCACGCAAGCTTTAGCAGTGGAATGGAGCATAGATTGCATTGTATGAGAAAATAATAGGAATAAAATGTAATCCAGTTAAAAAAATACTGAAAATCAAAGAAATTGTTTTCAGACCAGACATGGCTCTTCCTGAAATCTTTTAGAAATACCATGTATTTCTCAGGTATAAGCAGTGCTATTCTTTGTTACCTTCCAAGCTGTTCCCAAAGTCTTTTAAATAATTTACTGGCCAGAATAACAACATCCTTCTCTCCTGGAGTGCTTACAGTTTATTGTGAAAGCTTCTAGAAGAAAAGAAATAGGAAGAGAAATGTATGAAGACAATCCATTTTTTTATTTTCTGTGCTAAAGCTGGAACAGCTTTCTTTTGTTTTTCCTCCACCATACTGTATTTTTCAAACGGAGATTTCTGCATTACATTAAAATGTATTATGCAACTTGCATTTCCAAAACAAAGATACAGATCTCTCTCCTCTTGGAACTCATAATAACTCTCTCTTTAGATAGTGTCATCGGCATTCTTTCTATTAGCTATTCTTGGCCATCTTGTGCAAAATAGGAGCATTATCAAACTCTGTTCACGTATTATATGGGCACCTCACCGGACCCAGACCACTAGCAGAACATCCCTTTGCTGCAGAGCTGCTTAGCTTCCCTCACTTCTGTCACACCAAATTACATGCCTTTGTAGGACAGGTCCAGTTAGAAAAGCCTGCCGGCTTCGTGGTACCGCTTGGTAGGAAGGAATCAGGCAGCGAGATTGCTTCGCTAGCAAAAACATCCCAAGTGGATGTGTCTGATGTTGGCGAAAGAGCCCTTTAGCCAGCCCAGTTTGCCACAGTCAGAGCACTGTGCTTCTACTGGGAGCTCTAGCAATATAGCTGTGCTGATGATGGCTTCGCAATGCAGCCAGCCCCTAATCTTGGTCAGCCGTCAGAGTTGAAAGAACATCCCAGAACATGGGACACGGGAACTACCATATCACATAAGGAGTCCATTTCCTCCCCTCCTTCCCTCCCTCCCTGTGCATCCATGGGACGTAGGGGCAGTCTCATCACCCAGCTGGCTGTCCCTTTCTCGCATCAGCTCACTCCAGCTTGTTCCTACTCTCAGTGAGATTATCTAGCAGCGAGTTCCATGTATTAGTTATAAATTACATAAAGCAACAGCTTATTATCAACTTCTGGGTGTCCCGTCTCCCAGTTTCATTCAATATCCCCCTTGCTCTAGCGACACAATACATAGCAACCTCTGGCTCACCTTTCTGCCTTCAGCTTCACCTTTCTCTGATGTTTGTGTATAATAATCCCTCAAGAAGGCGCTTCTTTAGGAACTTTTATACACATATTTTCCCTGCAGATACAACACACAAATCACAGAAGATAAAGAAGACAAAAACCTAAAAGGTGGTCTGAAACAATCTGACGATGAAAAATTGTCCCCCATTGTACATCTTTGTTCCAGATTAAATTTAAATGCTCTGAGCAAGAACAAGCTAAAAATTAATTTCATGAGCAGTTACACCACAGTCCTGAGATTTAACTTTGTCTTCCCTTTGTTTCATTTCATCCCCTGTTTCGGCTATTCTGGAGCCAACGCTACAGCTTTCCAATACTTCTTTAATATTTGTATATTCATATATGTGCAGGAATCTAAAATTAGTTTCTTTAAATATGCTGATAAATTCAGATTAATTCCAGTACTGCTTAGTCACTGATTATTTATGAAGCAGAAATCTTCAGGGAATTAAGGAAAAGTGGCCATCTAAATAATAAAAATAACCATAGAGTTATGTATGTTACATACGTATTTTCTATCACAGTTGTTTCAAATACCACATTTACTTCCAGGGGCTGTATTGGAGAGCAGAGGCTGGCACGTCTTTCTGGGTTTTGTTTGAAGCCTGAAGTGAGATGTCTTTGTATACAGAGAATTATGGTTCCTGTATGGCTGTGTAAGAACAAGCAACAAGTTATCGTGGATTTTTGAGATACTGAATGACATTCAAGGCTTTTGCATGAAAAAAACCCCACTAACACAAAAGGTTTCCCGATAGCATGAGTACAATTGAATGCAGTTTACTCAACTGTAGGAAGTTTATTTCAGAAAGCTGTTTAAAATCCACATAATCAAACAAAAAGCCTCGCAAACATACCTCAGCATGTATACATATATTTAATAATTGCCTTTTATTTATCTTTTTATCACAGTGACTGTCTGTAACAGTACTTCATGCACAGGAAGAACATTTTGAACACGAGTTCTTTGTCCCAGCTCAGAAAAGCCTGGATTTGCTGTCTCTGAATTTCAAGGAGCCTTTATTTTTAGAATCACACACACACACACAGAATGGCAGGGGGTGGAAGGGACCTCGGGAGATCATCCAGTCCAACCCCCCTGCTAAAGCAGGTTCACCCAGAGCAGGTTGCACAGGACATGGTCCAGGTGGGCTTTGAATATCTCCAATATCCATCCTTAGACTGATATGGGTTTACGGAGACCCTGTGCCTGTGAGCAAATTCTCCTGAAGGGTTTGTGACTGCAGCCACTAAAACCTAGGACTTTTGGTGAGCTCCCTAGCCCAATCTCCAATATCCATCCTTAGACTGATATGGGTTACAGAGACCCTGTGCCTGTGAGCAAATTCTCCTTCTGAAGGGTTTGTGACTGCAGCCACTAAGACCTAGGACTTTTGGTGGGCTCCCTAGCCCGTTGGTGCTCATTCCTGGTCCCAAAAGATCAAACAAGTTACTTTGGCTATAAACTCCTTGTTTCTAGACTGTGGCACAAATTCAGTACAGTAGTAGTTGGGGTTTTCTTTGAAGACTGTCACTGGGAATAATAGCTGACAGGGCCAAGCATCCCCTTGCTTCTGTAAAAGAACAGAGTTTTTACATTTTCATATTGGAGCTGGGTAGCCTGGGTTTTATAGCTATATAAAGGGAAACTGAAATCACTTGAGGCAGTGTTTTCAGCAGGCAGTAGGTAATGCCTAAGGACAGATCATTGGCATTTTGAGAAATCAAAGGTATTTAGGACAAATCAAAGGTGTTTTGATAGCTGCACTGTTTAGATAGCATGTACATTATTTTTGCATAGCTTATACTACTTTTACGAAAATTATTAGGAAACCAGCGGACATTGGTCTCTCAGTGAAGACCAACACTAACAAAGATACCTAAGCATAGAATAAGAGATTTTTTTTTTCCATACCTGCTGACCTTGAAATAGTGTCTTAAGTGCAATTGGCATGAAAATAGTAATTCACATATGTGCATCATGCTACTTATTCACTTATTTCCATTAGTGTTGCAAAAATACTGAAACTCATTAGGAAGGTCTATGTTGCTTTAGCTTCGTTGGCTTTATGATCCCTCCCCATCTTTCCATTTGGGTGGTTTGATTTGCTCAGATAACCCAATGTCTCTTTCGTAGGTGTAGGTAAATAGATCTTCCACAAATTTGTTCAAAATCCTGCCAAATTGCTAGCATTGCCAATGCCCAGAGCAATGTCCTGTACAAGAGAAGGAAACACATGAAATAGTCATTAATCTTTAGTCTTGTAACTCAAATATCTTCCCTGATAAAGGCTATTACAGTGATTTGCCAGAGAAAAGTGAGAGTTGTCTGAACATGTGGGTTTGTTCAGGCTGGTTTTATTTGCTTTTCTTACAACAGATCATGTTGAGCAAGACATTTGCATCTAATATGCCCAGAGGCACTATTAAGGACATGTTCTAAAACCCAGAAATAGGTTGTAGTGGTGTTGGCAGGAAGGTGACATGACTAGTCACACAAAATGACCTACCTTTTTTGAAGTAAGATTATTTTTTTTTCCAAACTATTAGTACTAGTATTAGCTATACGAGCACATGTCTTAAACAACCTTGTAAATCTGTATCTTGTAAATCTCTGGTTTTGTTCCTGTAAACTAAGACAAGCTGTAAAAGGGCTAAAAGGATGGTGAATGCTGGGACATTCTTAAAAGGTATATTTGTTTCTTCTGCTGCATCTCCTAGAAAAATTTCTACTCTCAAATTAGCAATGAAAGCAAACCAGGCACCGAATGGATCTAGAGCTAATTAAGATAGACTGGAACAGGGTTGGGAGCAGGAATTCCCCACTGTGTCATTTAAGTACATTCATAAGGAAGTAGATTTAACTTTAGACTGGCTCATCTACTCAGCATGCTGTCTGCTCATCCAAGGCAGGTGTAAGAGGTCAACCATCACAAGTTGGATCAATGAAAACAGTGACCTATGCAAAAAGTAATCTTGCTATATTTTGCAGATGACACCAAGTTGGTGTGTGAGCAGTGATCTGCTAGAGGGGAGGAGAGCTCTACAGGGGGAGCTAGACAGGCTGGATTGATGGGCCAAGGCCAACTGTATGTGGTTCAACAAGGCCAAGTGCTGGGTCCTGCACTTGAGTCACAACAACCCCATGCAATGCTACACGCTTGGGGAAGGGTGGCTGGAAAGCTGCCTACTAGAAAAGGACCTGGGGGTGTTGGTGGACAGCCAACTGAATATGAGCCAGCAGTGTGCCCAGGTGGCCAAGGTGGCCAACAGCATCCTGGCTTGTATCAAGAATAGTGTGGCCAGCAGGAGCCCTGTACTCGGCACTGGTGAGGATGCACCTTAAATATGATGTTCAGTTTTGGGCCCCTTACTACAGGAAAGACGCTGAGGTGCTGGAATATGTCGAGAGGAGAGCAACAAAGCTGGTGAGGGGTCTGTAGCACAAGTCTTCTGAGGAGCGGCTAAGGGAACTGGGGTTTTTCAGCCTGGCTGGGGGGAGACCTTATCGCCCTCTACAACTGCCTGAAAGGGGGGTGTAGCGAGGTGGGTCTCGTTCTCTTCTCCCAGATAGCGGGCGATAGGACGAGGGGAAATGGCCTCAAGTTGCTCCAGGGCAATTTTAGGTTGGACATTAGGAAAAATTTCTTCACCAAAAGGGTTATTAAGCACTGGAACAGGCTGCCCAAGGAAGTGGTGGAGTCCCAGCCCTGGAGGTATTAAAAGACTGGTAGACGCAGTACTTAGGGGCATGGTTTAGTGGTGGACTTGGCACTGTTAGGTTTATGGTTGGACTCAATGACCTAAAAGGTCTTTTCCAACCTAAATGATTCTATGATTGTATTATTTTGTATGTCTTTTTTCTGCTCTTTCTCCTTAACAATTATTCTACAAGTCTAATTCCTCCATCTGTTAGAAAAATTCAGTTCCTAATTTCCATTTCAATGCAGCTGAGAGTAGATTTGTCTACAGTATTTTAATATAAAAGGAATATACATGGTTTATTATTTTGTTCTTGACATGTAAGATTTGTTTATGTCATGTAAGCATGAAAGCATGCCCATTCCTACAAGTGCCTTGAATCCATTAAAGTATCTTTTCCAAAGCAGTCTGTTAAGTCTAACCACAAAACCATCAAGCACAGGAGTAGTTCTGTTTCAAATTAACGCATCAGGTTGGCACATAGCAGACAAACAGCAATGTGGCATTCCTCAAACGGCAGTGCCTCTAGCATGAAATGATAGCAGAAAAACTGCATAGCTCAGGGATGTAAAAATGGAAGCAGGTCTTTTGCACAGGTTCCACACCTGGGAATGGAGCCACCGCCTATGACAGAAGCCATCCTTAGGCTGCTGAGGAAATTGTCTGAAATGGAGAACATGCCTTTCTCCAGGGGCAGTAGTCAGGACCCTTCCCTAAAAGCTAGTTTGGTTTCCTCAGTGCTGTGAAGCATGAGAAATCTTTTTGTATCATGAATCATCAGTTTCACTCTCTCCTTTTTCAGAGCAAGTCCTTTATTTTTATGTTAAAAATATACGTGTATACTTTTCGGTTTGGAGGTTTTGTTGGGTTTCTCTTTAAGATAAGGTCAACACAGCAGCATCTCACAGAGACAGACCTTTACAGCCTGGAATGCTGCAAAACCTCTTGCTGCCACGTATTCGCACAAAATCTGTCCACTTTGAACATCCTGAGCACCAAAACATAAGAGGGTAAGAAACACAAGGGGCTTGGTAGCGCCAGGAGCTTCTCCCTGCCCAGACCACAACCCAGCCCCAACGGGGGAATGCAGAGGCCAGGGCTGGACCTGCCAGGGTGCAAATGTGGTTCTTCACGAGGCAGATCTGGTAGTGGTGACTGCAGCCCAGGCTGGTGTGGAGATACCTAGCATTCAAAGGCACACACAGCTCTTGGCAGCTCTTGCTCTGTGGAGATGCTCAGCATCACTCTGTGCCCCTCTCCTCAGCTTGGCTGCATTTGCTCAGTGCCAAAATAAATTCATCAAGCACAGCAGGGCCTTGCTGGAAGGAGCAGAGGAAGAACTGGGCTGACCTCAGGCTTTGCTTGTGGCAAGGAGTTGTTCAGGCACCGGCGTGCAGGAAGCCACTGCCCAGAACTGGAGTCTGGGAAGAAGCATTTTGGAGAGGCCACCACGTCCGACTGACGGGAGGAGTGCGTTGATTACGGCTTAGCTCCCAACTCAGCCACAAACACAAACTTGCTAAATCTGCCAGCTTAGCAGCTTTGTTGACTTAGACCTCAACACACAATGTCTCTGTAACGTAGCCCTCCTCTTCCTTCCTCCCTACATGGCCTGAACTTCATCACTGGAGGTCTGGGTTCTCCTGCAGCCTTTTTTTTAGGAACTTGGTGCCCAATTTAGTGAAATTGCCGTTGGCTCACCCCAAAGGTTTCCTTCTTTAAGAGTAAAGCATCGAGATATTCAGCTGATGTGCTGTCACTAGGCTGGTTGCAACCAGGCAGCTTTGTGAAGGTTACGAAAAGAATTGCCAGCTCCTCACTACAAAACAAAATTATTTCAGCTGAGGAAACATAACAAAACCAAACAAAAAATCATCTTTATTAGAGTGAAAATGGCATCCATCACAGATAGGTTTGATGTGATACTTGTTCTTTTTCATTTGTAAAAACCTTAATTTCTCTTCCTTAAGAGTTCTAGTTTGGGCAGTTTCCAATAACGAGGCTTCTGCTGTTATCTATACCACAATCTGCCCTAAATTAATTTTTAAAGAGGTTTGGGGTTTTTTTAATAGACATGATGTTGCGTAGTTCGGAAATACTTGAGCATGACATGCTCTTTGCCAGTTTGTTGTGGTTTTTTAAATTGTGTTCTCTACGCAGACCATGAGATAATATCTTTGTCACATACCCCTTCTGTATTTTTTAGGAACACCTGAGAGCTTTTGACCAGGAAGTAAATGCGTTTGTGGACTATATGTTTGGACCTCGAGGTAAGCTGCTCCACCTATAGCCCTTTTCAGAAATAATACCTATCCAGTTACCGCTCAAAAATGTTATAATGAATAGAAGCAGTCCATTTTTTTCTGTCTGAATAATTTCTTACTGACAAATGTGGACTAGACAAAATCGCAGTAGTTGCAGGAACACACCATTATTGTAGGAAATCTATCAATGCACGGCATTTATAAATAAGGCCAACAGATTTTTGTTTTGACTGTTTGACATGTTTTCTGTAATACAAATTAAAACCAATCCCAGATAATACTGCAGGTGAAAGAAGAAATGAAACTGAATTTTGTTTTTGAAACTTAAAAAAAAAAAATCACTAGATTTGGGAGTCCTTTGTTTCTGAGAATATCAAAGGATACCAGTTTTACATCCTAATGTAGACTAAAAAAATTGAAAGCCTGGATTTTTCTGAAAGTGGAGAATCTGTTTGGGGACTGATTCTCATTCATAATCCAGTTATTGTTTGGTCCAGCTACCTATCAAATAGCCTCATTCAGAAGGATGCTCAGAGCAAAAGCAAGAAAGGGCTTTTAGCACCCTGCAGGACCACGTCTAAAATTTCAGTAAACCAACAGACAGGGTGGGAGAACATCTTTCTAATTCCTATTTTTGCTTTCTAAAACAGTTTGGACAAGAATAACTTGAATAACTGTAGCTTGGAGGTGCCGCATGCTTTTTTAGGACCAAAACAAGTAATACTAAAGAAAAAAAAAAACCTGAAGTAGGACTGCAGAAAGAAAGAGAAGGGCAATGACAAGGTGAGGACAGAGCATCAAAGTCAGGGCTAAGAGAGCCAAGCACCTAGAGGAAAGGGGTAAGATGGGAGTTTAGACAGCAGACGGTCTTCACAGAAGGTCCCTGTAAGGCCACCTTGCTGCTGATAGGGCTGGGCTTAAACATTCAGCGTCAGGAATAGCCTTGCAAACTCTTCCCAAGGTTAAAACCAGAGCTGCTGCCCGTGTGGATGGACCTATGCTTAGGTATTCTCATTTTGCTGCAATGACGTCCTCCACATCCCAGAAAGGGTTCTTGGTTAATTAGGAAGACAAGGGAAAGAAAGCTGTAGCATTCTTAAAACCAAGAAATTCTCATTTTTCTTAGCTGGCTGGCTGGCTACAAAATCTTTTCTATCATCTCCGCAGTAGATATGAAGCTTGAAAGAAAGATTTCTGGTGAAGAAACACTGAATAGCTTGGGAACTGCAGCAAAAGTGATTAAAGCAGAATAAGTTTTATTAATATTAAAATGCACTATCGTAGAAGCCACTAACAAAGTAACACAATCACAAGCATTAAAGTACTACTATTTCTTTTTCAAATGGACATGATGTTCTCCTTCACTCCTCTTTCAGCGTTGGTCCAGAACAAATCGTTTGAAGGAATGAACTGTAGTTAATGCAATGCAGAATACCACACAGATCCCTTTGGGCTCTTAGAATGCACTTTAGTTAAACAAGTATTTTTTGTATTACTTGCCAAGTACATCACCATCCCTCTCCAGACATCAGTGCTGAAGATAGCATTTTTTTGTCCGTGCCCCTGCACTATGATCTTTAGTTTAACCGGTGGTATAATGACACAGTATCCTATATTTTGTGAATAACGTAGCTCCCTCTAATGTGTTTATACACATAAATAATTCACAATAAACAGCAAATTGTTTTAAAATTGGATAGAATGACCCCACAAATGAAAATCTAATGAATTCTTGAGTGCTTCCCCAAATGCCTAAAACCAACCGTTTCCCTGCTTTCTCTCCACCCATTTTCATCCACAGTGCACACTTCATCCAGCAGCAAGATGGCTTAACAGGATAAGATAACAGTGCCCTATTCTTTTAAAAAAAATCAATCCCATATTTATGGTTTATATTTTAAGTAGTAACTCCTGCAACACTGGTGTCACCACACTGGTTTTAGTCATCGTTACCAGAGGTGGCAGAGGGCACGAGAAGAGACAGCTAGCTGCCAGAGGCGATCTCTGCCAATGTTGGTAGTACCAGGTTAGCACAATCTGCAGTACTGCGCTACTAGAATAAGGGGTGTACTACCAAAGATCTGACTTTGATTTCTACATAGGCATATTTTATGCCTTTGTTCACTGGTGTTAGCTGGAGTCTGTACACAAATTTACCTCAATGTTTGCTTTTGAGCTAGCAGACCAAGTCCTTTGAATCGGGGAACAGAAGCCACATGCACGGCCATCAGTGGCATCTCTTAATAAGAAGCGATATTACAATTTGGTGTTGGTCCGTAGTATTCTGGATAGGAGATTATCTAGGCTCGAGGCAAAAATGAGAAACGGTGAAATAGCTATAGTGTTCTGCAAGAGAACATTCTTCCAGGGTCACCTTCATCTGCAGAGCATTGTTTGGTGTTACGCAAAATTAAGGAATATTGAATTGCAGGAGCTAAATCTAGTTAATTGGTTGCTTGTTTTATCTGTGAAAGAAACAGGTGATAAGAATAGATATACTTTTTAAAAGTTATCATAAATTAATAAGTGCTTCTCCTCTCCTCAACTGAAGTTTTATCTGTGAAAGAAACAGGTGATAAGAATATACTTTTTTAAAGTTATCATAAATTAATAAGCGCTCCTCCTCTCCTCAACTGAGTATAAGCAGTAGCAAGGAGTGGTGCAAAACCATCTACCCGCTGCACCTAAAAACGTCTGAACCTACTCAGACACCAACTGGCCAAAGCTATACAGAAACCTGAATCAAAATGTTTCTAAACCTCACTGATAAAATCCCAGGACATTTAAAAAGCCTGGGAGGCCTGCCATTCATTTCAAAGGAGCCAAGATTTCACCCCAAGGGTCTGGCACATCATGGCCAGGGACCGTGAATGAGCTTATTCACAGAGCAAACAGAGCTTGTGGGCACCTGCTCCTTCCCCTGCTGTAGTCCAGCACTTTTACACTGTGGCTTTATTCACTCCCTTGGCCTCAAATTGAGATGCTGTGTGGGTTTGACATTGTAAAAATAATCCTTTCTCCTATTGACAGCGTACCTTTATAGTGCTTGAACATGGAGATTGAACCATCAGTCAACAGAAATACTTCTGATCTCTCCTTCCAATAACTTTTTTTTTAAATACACCTCCTCTCCTGTCCCTTCCTGCCACATAAAAACCTCCCTCTTCTTGTCATTCAGGGATAAGTGGAAGTGGAAACAAAACAGTCACGTTCCTTAGCTTCCGTTTACAAACCACTTTCTGCCAATAACACTTACCTTGCAAGGTACCAAGGTCAGGGTGGAAAATAATCAGTAAGAGTACACATTTTAATACTTTCTCTTGAAAAGGAAAGAGTATAGAACTTAAAAAACACTTGACATGCTAACCTGAACAAGCACACGAGTTCTGCTTTTGTATGGATCAGCCCACATGCTTGTGGCCACTCACAGCAGTGTGAAAACTTTCTGAGGGCATACTAGGACAGCATTTGAAGCTATTTAGTTTAATTTGCATTCTCATCTCTTCCAATTACTTTTCCTCTTTGAGCAAACATGCTGCTTCATTATCTATTGATGCCAGTTGGCCTTTGTGCAAGTAACCTTTATGCACCGAGTGTTGCAATCCTCAGATGGGTTGACCCTTCTTTAGATAGCAGCTTTGCTGACATGACTGCTTTCTACATCTTCGTTTAGGATACCAATTAAGTAAATTAAAACCTTCTGCTCCTAAAACATACACTAGGTTGGCACTTACACGTACAACCTTTACCTGTCCTATGACTCCTGTGTCCTGTTCAGAGCCCGTAAGTGAGGAGAACCTGTTTGGAGCCCACATGGGAGCAGAATCCCCTCCAAAACATCCATTCCAGTGCTTCACACGTGGCTTGTGAGTTTTAAGAGGGCTGTTGGAAGTGTTTTATTCTTGCACTGAGGTGATCTTAAATAGACATTGAGATCTGAAGACAGAAAACAGGCATTCCAGCTTGGTAATGCACAGCAAAGCAAGGCCACCCTAAAGGCAGGGTGGTGCTTTGTCATAGATAGTTGTGCTGTCATGACTGCTTTAATCCTACACCTCTCCTCTCCTAGAGGTTTTTGAGAGTCCAGAAGGGAGACTCAAAACCAGGAGAGCACTGGACTTCCACAATAACTTAGGTCTGGTTGAAAGTCTTCCCTGCAAAAGAGCTGACATTCCATGCAGAGCCCAAATCCAACAGATGAGCATTACAGCCACTGCGATGGAAGCAAGGTGGGAAGTGGAGGGAGACAGTACTGAGAAAGCAAGCCCATGTTCATAGCGCTGTTCATAAGCAGATTACTCTAACTCACTTAAAAATCTCACTTTACGTATACCTGTACGCATATATGTCTGAGGAAAGAGTAGTCAGAAAGAATACAGTACAGCAAAATCGCAATCGGCAACAGTTTGTTAAATACTTGGGCACATTTGGTTTGTGCGCCATCCATTGCCCAGTCCTTTCCAAATTCAACACAGGCAGAAAAATAGTAACATGTTTTTTCATGCACTGCAAATACCTTTTCTTCTTTTACAATGTGTAACATAATCTTGGTCTTTGTAAAAAATAAACTAAGTAATTTAGAACAGTTTCTAAGAACAGAAAGAACTACTGTGACCTGCACAATAGCTTCTCACTGACTTATTTCCTCACTTACTCCATAAATCATGACAGATTTAGAGTAAGCTTTTTGAAAAACTAGCCACGATGCCCCTTGTTCTTTTCGTAGATACATGTCTGAAGACTGTTGCTGTGGAAAACTAACTCTAAATCTTGCTCCATCTAAAAAAAAAAAACCCAAACCCACATTCCTTTCGCTCATGACATCCAGTTGCCCATAGGACAATGAAGCGGTGCCTCCAGATTGGCATATAGGATTAAGGCTTTGCTCACATACACTGAACTATCTGATTACTGCCAATGGGATTACTTGTGTGAATAAGGCAAGCAGGATTTGACCTTAATATTTCGTGTCAGGACTAGGCAAATAGGACAGAAACTGTGAGAAAGCAAGCCCTTGCCTTGCCAAATATCTTCGATAACCATCAAAGTAAACATTTGCCATTTTTCATATTTAATGCTTTTGAAAAATCCTCCCCTTGTATATAAACATTTTCTAGCAAGTGTTATATACCTTCCTACTTATATGGCAAATGCAGAATTAAAATAATATATGAACTGGCAACTTTACATGCATGCTTTGTGTTTAATACTATCTGCAAACTGTCCATTGAGCAGACTGAGATGTGATTTAATTAAATATTAAGTTACAATATTACATTGAATTTTAAAAAGCATTATTAAATTAAATTTTTAAAAGCACGTAGGAATGTTTTCTTCTTTTCATTTTCTCTTTCCTGTTAAAACAAAGAGATTTAAGTGAACTTAAATTACTAGGGAATTGTGTGCAGTTTTTGGCACACATTCTCTGAATTAGTATGCAGTTTCGGGGAGGTAAAAGCAATGGATAGCTCTTGCGAGCAAAACATGGCAGATTCCCTCTCACATTTTCAACAGATTTATTTCACGATGTGATGTGCCATATTTTAGCAATACTTTACTACGATAGCCTTCTTAATTGCCTGCTGCATGTGTTTTCTTTTCAGATACCAGGGTTAGAGGATGGTTCCTTTTGGACTCGTACCTTCCCACATTTTTCCTTACTGGAGCATACCTACTCTGCATATGGCTGGGCAACAAGTTCATGAAGGAGAGGCCTCCTTTCTCGCTCAGGGCTCACCTCATTGTATACAACCTTGGCATCACACTGCTCTCCTTGTACATGCTGATAGAGGTAAGTGTTCCTCCATGCAGTGCAGCTGAGGAAGGTGAGCAATATACAATTTTTAGCAGAAATATCTTCTTAGTGACAGGTAGTTTTGCTAGGGAATTTAACATCAACAACAAAGTAAATTTAAGAGCAAAAAAAGCCCCTTAGCAACTGGACAGTGAGTTGTACCGTACCTTCTCAGCTTAGATCTTGGTGTGTTTTAGCTGTCCTTCCTGAGCTACAATCCACACCTGGCTGCTACCAGGATGGTTTCCGCAAGCACTGAATCTGATTCTCCAGCAGTCGCTCAGTTTAAACATGCTATACCTCATTCTTCAGCACCCACAGATATGCCTGTGGATTGGGTTTTATTCATACAACTGTCTGTGGAATGATATTTCTGTGTACAAATGCTCGCGTTTAAATGTGAACGGAATTATAGATGAGAGCAAGTACTGATTTATTTATGGTATTGGCAATTCAATGTTATTTTTCTGCTCTCCTGACTAAGAAGCTTTCCTCATACAGTCAGACAGTAAGAGACAGATGGTAAAAACCTGCTACTTCAGCCAAAAGCAAGTGCTGTGAGACTTGGAGGCAGAATATGGCCACACAGATTATTTCCCAAGCACTTATCAGCAACGAACATGCTCACAGAAATCAGGATCCATTCAGAACCAGAAGAGAGGTTTGAATGCATCTGACAATTTTGCAACAGCAGAGGACTCAGTGTTCCTCAGCAAAGACGTGTGTTTTCATGTCCCCAGTGGGGAGCAGAAGCCGAGAGTCACTATTTTGATATTATTTGGGAGCTCCCCATTCTCAGCCTTGTGATAACTGAGGTACTTTTCATATTGAAGTGTTAACATCCATCACTTGAGGCCCTAAAAACAAACACCAAAAGGCAAAAACCACAAAACATTTTCTGACTTGGCTTAGAAAGTGACCCCGGGCACAAGAAGCCCTGGCTGAAGGATGTGCTTGATTTCATGGTGGGCCCAGGGGAGGTGTGAGCTGACGTTGCTGCCTTGCCTGCACAGCCTCGCAGCATTTCTTGCTCCCTGGGCTCCCAGCCACCACAGCAGTTTCCACAGGAAAACCAAGGACCGACTGTTCTGTCAGCCAGACAAGAAACTTTGCAGAAGCCAAACAGGACCCCAAAGATTTCAAGTTTTAAATTAATTTGAGCTAAACACCAGGTGACTGGCCTGGTCAAAAGGCTGAACAGCAGTTTGGGTTTGTGCCTTTGTGCAAAGGACCGACTGTGCTACACGGAGCTTCATCCTGGTCACAGCTCCAGCTGGCCTCAGCAGTTGCTGCGGGTGTCCGAGAGTGCAGGATCAGGCCCGGAGCAAAGGGGAAACCCGCACCATTGCTGGAAGGTTTGACGACTCCACACTGATTGTCCTCCAAAATTTAAATTAGCACTTTGATGTTTAAATCCCCATTTTGCTTGAAGTTATACAGACAGCTGTCTTCAGTAGCAAGACTCAGCAAAAAGAATTAACTGAATAGAAAACAAAAATGCTGCTCCCTTCCCCTCGCAGGCTGATTTGGCCTGCCACAAGTACATGAATGAACAAAGAGAATTTTAGCAGGTCTTGCTTACATCAATGAAGTAAACTTGGGTTTTGCCACCTTCACATCTTTGTAGGAATTGTGTTGAGCCAGCTCCCGTTCAGCTGCCCCACTGCCCTGTCCTTCCTGAGGCTACCTTTGCTGCAGATGATCGCTGAGTTGTGTTAGTCCTCAGATTAGTCCCTTTAGCCCTTGATTCTGCAGCTGGAGGCTGCCGATTCATGGCCCCCAGACTGCAGCTGGGCATGGCTGGCAGTGGCTCACAGCTCCACATTCTGCATTTTTTTGGGAACCCAAGGGACATTGTGTCTGATCTGCGCTACCAGCTGTTTTGCTGCAGATTTCACTCTTAGCTCTGGACTGTCAGCCAGGCTGGTTTTACACTGTACAAAATGCTCTTCCATAACAGCAGCTCTGTATTTTTTCATAGTCTACTTACCTGGTTCCTATCACAGCTTCTCCTGTGAAGGAGCAGAATGGAAGTTAAGGCTTGCAGACCTGCCTGGGGTAGCTTGCACACCCCTGCTGAAGGGAACCAGGCAAATGGGAGAGCAGAAACCATCTTCGGTACTGAATAAAGTTATGGTGACTCAACATTTCAAAATGTCTCGTTTCCAAAGCTTTTCTTTGGCCCTTGTTCTCTCTGTCTTTTATAGAGAGTAAGCTCTTTAAGGCAAGAGTTACCTATATTTAGAGCTAACTGCACAGTGGCTTCTTATGTAAACACAGCTGATCCCTCCAGCGAGTATGATTCAGGATTAATTCCTAGCTAGAGACATCTGTAACAGTTGTCTTATTCCTCCATCCTCCCACTGCACCTGAACCCCTCCGGTCTCTGTAACAGAGATAAATCACAAAATAATAAGCTCTATAAAAGAGATAAACCACCAAAAAAACCCCACAGTTATTGGCATTGTTGTTCTTATCTCTTCTTTGTGTTGTTTATAAGGTGCCACACACCTTTTCTTGTGATAGCTCCAAAATGGAGTGGGTGCTTCTTAGGCATTCAAAAGAAAAAACCTCTCATTCAAAAGAAAGGATGTCTCTCCAAATGCCGCCTGTCCCACATGATGGCTTTAATGAGAAACATGGTAAACCAGCTGATGGGGGGGACCTGTGCTGCAATTCTTCATCTCCGCACCTTCATCTCCTGACCTAGTTTAGCTGTCCCTTGACTACAGTTGGTCTGTACAACCTCAAGGCAAGACAACAAAGGTCGTAGCAAGGAGTCATAACAAAAAGGCTGTTTTTAAATCTCCAAGGGCAGATTCTTCCTTGGAGCCAGAGCTCCATGCACTGCACCATGGGCATGAAGTACCTGGGAGCCAATTTTAGCTCCATGAGCTTTAAGGTCAACCAATCCCTAAAGTACTTGGAGGAACAGCTCAAGGACAACTCTAAGATGTTCCATTAGCATAAGGTCAGATATCCCTACTGTCCCTGAAGGAAAAGGTCTACAGAAAAACAGCTCTGCCCAGCTGCTCTCATCCTAGAGAGATGTTTCAAAAACTTTGTGTCAAGAAAGAGTTAGGTGCCTTTGAAGGCCTCCCAGAAGGGCAGTTTATTAGACCTTAATTTAGACTTCTGAGTTAGGCAAGTGGATTTTCTTGAAGTCATCAGAGGCACTTACCTCTCCCCATGGAATATAATGGAGAAGTGGGGCATTCAGGTTTGGAGCATGGCTTTTTCAAGTACCTGAAGCCTAGACACAAGTCCTGTGCTTAAATTAGGCAGGCTGCAGGTGCGCTGCTGAGGCGGCAGAAGGCAATTCCCCCTACCCTTGCTGCTACAAGAGAAACTTGCATCGGAGGTTTGTTATTGGTTGTATACTCTGCTGTACCATCAAGTGTTGATAGACCCAGACCATGTCTACTGATCCAACAATTTCTAGTAGCATTACCAAAAATCTGCATGAAGAAAAACCACCTCCACCTTTTTGTTTTAATAAAAATAAAATTAAAAACTTTTAGCAATTTCACTGAAGAAAAAAATGCCTTTCCTCTACACAGATCTCTGCCTAAGATCCCAAAAGTACCAACTCTGAGCAGAAAACCAGCTTACTGTGAAAAGCAATCAGGTCTTTACATATTTTAAAATTATTTCATGTGCGAGTCAACTCACAAACCACACTCCAGGGATGCAATCTGAGGCACCAGAGGCCAAGATAAGGTTTTGAAGTTCACCGCAGGATAAAACTGCCACAACTCCAAAGATAAATTAAAATTGGAAACAAAGGAGAACCTTTGTTCTGATCTCCGAATTGTGAAATCACTCAGGTGAGGATACTCTCATTAATAGGAAAAGACACAATCTGTACCACGGTCTTAGGCTGCTTTCCCCAGCAGTAAATATCACCTCTGCCCTATTTAAATTAAATCTCAGATAGTCATCAGGCTCTCACCCAAGTCCTTTGATCAGGCACTGAGAAAACCAGGACACTGGCACCATCTGGGTCAGATTAAAAAGAGGATCTAGAGATATGTTTCATTAGCATAGGGGTGGCGTGATGTCTCAAGCTGCCTGTATCCCCAGGTAGCTTTGCAGACTTATTGTAAATCCATAGGATTTGTAAGCAAGCAACCATGTCTGTGTGAGGAAGCAGGACTTGCCTGCGAGGACCCCTTGATTCAGAGCAAAGAGCAGAACTGCACAAGTATTGCAAGCCCAGTGTATCAACATTTCTAGTGAAGCCAGGAAACAAGTCCTACAGAATATATCTTAAAAAAAACAAAAAAAAACAAAACCAAAAGCCAACAAAACACACCAACAGTGTATCAACATTTCTAGTGAAGCCAGGAAAAAGTCCTACAGAATATATCTTAAAAAAAAAACAAACCAAAAACCAAAAAACCACACCAAAACAAAACCAAAGAGTGAATACACTCTACCTGTTTCTAGGAGCTGAAAATTCACCCCGCAGTAAGTCCAGTTTCTGAATTACAGTCATGACTTGCAGATCCATAGGTGCCAGGACAATGTGAGGATTCCCAGGAGTACCAGAATTGCCTTCTCTATATCCTCTGATAGCAGGGAAATGTCAGCAACACAGTGCTAGCATGATCAGGGCCACCAGCCACTGTTTTTAGCCCTACACATGCAACTGGGATTACATCTCACAAATTGCTAGAAAACCCAGTATAATGCCTGGAGCTGGGATAACGGTGGGCAAAATGAAAGGAACAAACCAAAAATAAAAGGAGCACTGAAACTGTTTTATTCCATCGTTATAATGGCTGACATCAGAAAGATTTGCTTCCTAACTGTGCAAGTGTTAAAAAGCTACAGCTTGAGTAGCAGAAGGTCTAAGTAAAGTTTTAACAGTGCAGGCGATGAGGAAACACAAAAAGACATAGATCCTAGCTGATTTGAACTGTCCTGGAATTTTGCTATAGAAATCCAACTTCAACATAATTTTTTTTTTTTTTTTAGAGATTGTAATAGAAGAT